CGAAGCTTTTGGAAATTGAGAATCTGGAGACCCTAGAAATCCTCTTATCAGGACCGATCGACGTGCAAGACGATGGATATAATGCCGCCTTATCACGATTTTTAACGGCTGCCGCGATTGCCCCAGGTTCCCAGCTACTAATTCTTAACGGTCGTGTAGTCGGCCCATTTACTACAAATGTAGTATTCAAAGAGAGTGACTTTGAGTTGTTGCTCGAATTTGAGCAATCTTCACGAATACTTCCGGTGTATAAGGCAGTAGACGCTCTTGGCCTGACAGACAAAATTCTAGGCCCGCTAGCCGCCGCGAAACTCACGTCGGTGACGGCTTTATCTACCATATCAGATCTCCCTGAGGGGATTTTCGAGTCCGCCCCAACCCTAAGAACAAGCATATATGACCAGTGGAACTCAACCCATACGATGATCAGTGTTGGCGATGCATCTACCGCAAGCATTCACTTCGTCGCCATGATCAACCCTGCCAGTGAGATAGGGCAGAAGTGGGCCCCCATACTCAAGGTTCTGTCCCAGCTGGATGGCGTTTACATGCGGGTATTCTTGAACCCGAAGGAGAAACTAGAGGATCTTCCTGTCAAAAGATTTTACCGTTACATATTGGACTCGGCACCATCTTTCGACGAAGTTGGAAAGGTCAGCCCTCTAGGTGCGACCTTCAAAGGACTTCCTTCTGAGGCACTACTTAATCTCGGCATGGATGTGCCACCTGCTTGGCTAGTCGCAGCAAAGTACTCTGTTCATGATTTGGACAATTTGAAGCTAAGCTCCATCAAGGCGGACATTGACGCCGTTTATGAGCTTGAGCATATCCTTATCGAAGGCCACTCCCGAGAAACCACAGGTAGTCCTCCTCGTGGTGTGCAACTATTGCTTGGCTCTGAGCGTGATGCCCACTTCGATGACACAATCATCATGGCCAATCTCGGATACTTCCAATTTAAGGCCAACCCAGGTTACTACAATATCCATCTCAAAGAAGGGAGGAGTTCAGAAATATTCAACATCATCAGCGTGGGCGCGAAAGGATATAACGCTGTTCCGGGTGATGAGGGGACCGAAGTTGCTCTCATGGGCTTCCAAGGCACAACATTATACCCACGACTGGAGCGGAAGTCGGGCATGGAGTTAGAAGACGTACTCGAAGAAAGCACCTCGGACAGCGGCGATCTCTTATCCCGCGGCCTCAAGTTCGCGGAAGGAATCCTCGGCGGATCGAAGTCCAAGACGAAGTCAGTTTCGGACGAAGTTCACGCCGAGATCAACATCTTCTCCGTAGCAAGCGGTCATCTCTACGAGCGCATGCTCAACATCATGATGGTTTCCGTCATGAAGAACACAAACCACACGGTCAAGTTTTGGTTCATTGAACAATTCTTGTCGCCATCCTTCAAGGAATTTATCCCCCATCTAGCTAAAGAGTACGGCTTCAAATACGAGATGGTTACATACAAATGGCCGCATTGGCTACGCCAGCAGAAAGAGAAGCAACGCGAGATATGGGGCTACAAGATTCTTTTCCTTGATGTGCTTTTCCCTCTGTCGCTTGACAAGGTCATCTTTGTCGATGCCGATCAGATCGTCAGGACGGACATGATCGAGCTAGTCAATCTTGATCTTCAGGGCGCACCTTATGGGTTCACACCCATGTGCGACTCTCGGACCGAGATGGAGGGTTTCCGCTTCTGGAAACAGGGCTACTGGAAGAATTACCTCCGCGGCAATCCATACCACATCTCAGCCCTCTACGTCGTCGATCTTCGCCGCTTCAGGCAACTCGCAGCCGGCGACAGGCTCAGACAGCACTACCATCAACTGTCAGCCGATCCGGGATCTCTCTCCAACCTCGACCAAGACCTGCCAAATCACATGCAGTTCGTCATCCCAATCCGAAGCCTGCCACAAGAGTGGCTATGGTGCGAGACGTGGTGCAGCGACGAGAGCCAGAAAGAGGCACGAACCATCGATCTGTGCAACAACCCGCAGACCAAGGAGCCGAAACTGGACCGGGCTAGAAGGCAAGTACCGGAGTGGACCGTGTACGATGACGAAATTGCGGCGGTAGACCGACGGCGGAGAGGATTGGCCACAGAAAGTGATAGTCAGAAGGTGCTCACGGGCAGTGACGAGGAGAAGAATACCAAGAGTAGACGCGTCGAAGAGGAGGCGGAACCGAAGACGAGGGATAAGGATGAATTGTAGAACCTCGCACATATACAAACATATAGAGACAATAAAGTCATTTCGATCAAGTCGCCGGATTAGACGAATCGTCGTCATGATCATACGGATCTGAGGTTATTTTTAGAATTTTCAATTCCCTTTTTCCCGAATAACTACATATTTCGGGTTTGGGACAACTTCTCCTATCCTCAGGTCTATTTTGTTAGGGGAGCAATCTCTAAATTCAATAGTCTCAGGCAAGAATTTCCCTTAGCCTTAGCACACCGCAAGTGATCACTACAATACGACTTATCATAATTAGTAAATTACCCAATCATATTGACCTCATCAATTGATTTCATTTAACCCCTTTTTTTCGGATTCGAAGAAAACGTAGGATCAGTCTTATAAATATATATAAAATATATATATATATATACATGTACAATATATGAGATCACGTCTTTGTTAAGATCTCCGTTCGTCTTTCCGGCTTGGCAAGGCGCACAGGACCGGGATAAGCGAATCCTGAGGACAACATCGACTTTAATCTCCATGGTCGCAGCCGGCCGGGGCCTCAATCTTTATCCCCTTATATACCTATATCCTACCTTGCATACATACATAACCTACAGCCACCCATCATACACATACCCATCATTCCTATTCTTCGCGCAAAGGCAACTTCACTTCCAGCATTGCGCTGCGCAATCCGAGGTTTAGTCCCTTAAAGAGGGGCTGAGTCGTGCGAACCTATCATCTCACCTCATCCTCTTCGAACCGTCATTTTTCGTCCGTCGCGCTCCGCTATCTTCTACCTAGGTAGGTAGGGTGGCAATAATACAACAACAACTAGTCAACCCATTTATTCTTACCTCTCACAACAAACAAACAAACCCGGGCCTCTTAGCCCCCGGCCTTTTTTTTTCCCTTCAACTTAGTAATAACCCCCGTTCGGAAGCAAAGGTTACATACATACTGGGGAAATATTTATTAATAGGTGTAATTTTTTATTTAACAAGAAGAGAAGGGAAGAGAGAAGAAAAGAGTAATGATGGTGGAGCTCGGCTGCTCAGTAGTCGCGCCGCTGGCCCCGCACAAGCACACGCACACGGTGGTGTTCCTGCACGGGCGGGGGGACACGTCGCAGAACATAGCGGACGCGCTGCTGCGCTGGAGCCGGGACTCGCGGGGGCGGACGCTCATCGACGAGTTCCCGGGAGTGCGGTGGGTGTTCCCGCAGGCGGAGCCCATGCCCGTGGAGACGACCGGGGACGTGTGGCCCCAGTGGTTCGACGTCTGGAACATCCTCGACATGACCGACCGCGAGGAGCTGCAGGCCCTGGGGCTGCGGTCCAGCGTCCAGAGCGTCCGCCGCATCGTCCGCAGCGAGGCCGTCGCCGTCGGCGGGCTGCACAGGGTCGTGCTCGCCGGCATCAGCCAGGGCGGCGCCACGGCCGTGCACGCCCTGCTGCACATGGGGATGCTGGGGCGCGGGGAGAAGCGCGTGGAGACCGGGGAGCAGCAAGGGGCGGCGGGGGAGGAGAAGACGGGGCCGGCGAAGCTGTGCGCGCTGATGGGGTTCTCGGGGTGGCTGCCGTTCCCGGGGGGTTCGCTGGACGAGACGCGGGAGGTGCTCGGGCTGGAGGAGTTCCCGGACAGCCGGAGCGACGAGCTGGTGCGGAACACGCCCGTCTTCCTCGGGCACTGCAACGACGACCCCCTCGTGTTCGTGGAGTACGGGCGCCAGCTCCGCGACGGCCTGCGCGCCTGGGGCATGGAGGTCAAGTGGCACGAGTACGCCGACGGCGGGCACTGGTTCAACAGCCCCGTCGGCATGGACGACGCGGTGGAGTTCCTCAAGGCGCAGGGCATACCGGCTGCAAAGTGAAAAAAAAAACAAAGAGAGACAAATGGGCCTTTCCTTGGGAGGAATTTAAAGATGTCAATGGAAAAAGAATAAATCATGACGGGCTAAGAATGGCTTCGAGATATGAAGGGTTCAGGTCCCGGGTCGCCCGGGTCGCCTGCACGGCACCCCGAGAAGGACGAGGAAGCCCCGCGTGGTCATGATTGGTAGCCTACCATGTTACATCACTTGGCTACGGTATATCTAGAAGCAGTTCAAAATCATGGTGAGGAAGTATGGTTTAGTTGAAAAAAGGAGGTTTTTATAACTCAGTCCTAGGCCTACTCTTGCCTTGAAGCTTTAGGGTCGCATATACAACAAATACACCACATTAAAGCACATCCAAATACTAAATCAATTAGTTTGTACGTATACATAGGATGATCTTTATCGCGCATGGGAAATTATTCACCTAATAGTATTTCTTCATGCTTTAGACTAATAAGCTATCCATGGATACTCAAAAGAAGCTCAGTCGCCTCAATATTTACAGACTAAGCAGCATTTCTGGGAGAATGGAAATTCATACAACAACCGTCTTTATCGAAGTCTATGGTCACAATCTAGAAGACAAGACGAAATATCTCAACTTTACACAAAAAATCATTCTGAAAGTCTAGCTCTTATACATAATTGGTATGTCATAATGCGATACCGTATGATAAAAGAATGACTTGGCAGCGCTGTTCGGTTTTGCGTTTAATATTCCCTTTTCTTTTTTCCTTTAATTACCCCAAAAATACGTGGCTTTTATCCGTTATTTTCCCGGCATAAGATCCCACACACACTTGTATGCAATGCTATTTGCTGAATCCCTTTTCCACTATGAGCTTTTCGGTAAAGCCACTCCGTTGTACGGGCCAGTTTCTTACCTCTTAAACTAGTTTTGTGATCGTTTTTAACATCCAATTGGAGTCATAGCTCAGTGGTAGAGCGAAGGATTGCAGTCACACATAACTCGATAATATCCTTAGGTCGCCGGTTCGATCCCGGCTGGCTCCTCAAACATTTCATTTTTGTTTCTGTCGTGACTTCCGCAGTAACTAACGATCATAGATTTATTTTTATCCTTTTTGTTTTCTCGATGTTCTCCAATGTTCAAATTAATCCAATCTATATAGATGCTTTGCAAGGCGGGGATACATCTTTAACCAAATCAAATCAAATCAAATCAAACACACCTATAAAGAGCATCATTGAATATGATAAAATCGCGTTATAGAAGTATTCAATGCAGTCATGAATATCTTATTCCAGCCTCAAACTTTTGAACGGCGCATCCACAGGTTGAAAATGCACAGAAAACTGGGAGCTGCTATGTAGATAGGCGAACAGTACATCTCATCCTGCGTAGATGGATACCATGATCTGGTATCGCAAGGTAATCGTCTGTTAATGAGGCAGACTACTTTATGATAACGTCTTTCTTCGCCTTCATATATGACTTGGTAGTTACTTCAGTCTTCTAGTGTACACCTCTTGAAAGTAGGCGAACAAAGACTATGCTTGCCGTGATAGTAAACACGAGCGAAATAATAACATGTTCATAACTTCATCCCAAAAGAAACACAATGGTAATTCACGCACAATGCTAGATGTGCAAGGGAATGGTTCCGATTGGTGGAGAGGCTCAATTGAGGCGTTCGAGTGGTGGTGGTGGTGGTGGCAGGGTGGTAGGAGATTTTAAGTAACGTGCTGCACGAAACTATATGCATTGGTCTAAGACCTTGAAACCATCCTTTGCTAGACGTCGGGAAAGAAGAAAATAAAACTTCAAGCTTATTGATATGTAAAGTTTTGTAAACTCGCTATGGCGTTGCTCTGACTGGAGACGGTGTAAGCCCGGCTATTCTTCGGCGGGTCTCGATTTTTGATTGGCTAAACCAAATTTGGTTTATAACTAGCAATAAGTCGCCGAAGTTTCAGGAGCGGGATTGCATAAAAGTACTTGACTCATGCCTTTTACCTGACTCAACCTTGTGTAACCCAAAAAGCTCCTTTACACTAATCTTTGGAAACAATTCTCTGGGAACCCCAGATTCAATTTTGCTCTGCAACTTTTTTGCAAATCTTTTTTTTTCTTTCTCTTTTCTTTCACTTTGCTTAGTTTTGGTTTTCTCATGACTGTCAATTGATGTTTGATTCCTTTGTCTGTATTCTTTTACATTTATCGATGTGATGACGCCGTACTCGTCTGTTGTTCATTCGCAATAACCTCGCAACGTCTACCTAGGATAGCCTTGCTTCTATTCAACATTCTCCAATGTAAGGATGTCTTTGTCTAACTTGTTCCCACGCAGCTGCCACGGTCAAAGTAAATACACCTAGGTAAACTGGAACATGCCGACAATTGACCGATATCCATATCGTACCTAGGTACTCTACGTCGGAATAGGCGGGGTAGCTCCCCCCGACCCCTCCAATACCTTGGTAAAAATATGTGACGTCGTAAGTTGTAACTCCTTAAGCTGTGAGCTGTTTATGTACAATACAACAATACAAACCCATTGAATCTGACGAGAGCATCAAAACTCCGGATTATAATTCTTACGTCTTCATACCTAAACCGAGGAGAGCCATCAAGGTCCACGTCCCCGTCTTAATAAGCCAAATTGAGTACCCGAAGGTCTTTCAATATCTAAATATGGCGGCGACTTGTATATTCTGCAAAATCATCAAGGGTGAGTTAGTTCCACTCTCATGATAATCCGTTTCTCGAGGTAATTTCGGGTTATACATCTATATATATATATATCATATGGCTGCCATGAAATCTCAATAAGATATGATGATCATGTAACAAACTAACATAAAGCACAGGAGAGATCCCCTGCTTCAAGCTCTTCGAAAGCGACAAGACCCTCGCCTTCCTCGACATCAACCCTCTGAGCAAGGGTCATGCTGTAAGAAAACAAAGGCCCACACCCGTAGATTTCCATATGAACATGGTTTCATCACAAGTAGCTATTCAACCTAACATCCATCTCCCTCCGAATCTAGCTCGTGATCCCCAAGTTCCACGGCGCGAAGCTGACCGACATCCCCGACGACCAACTGGGGGAGATCCTGCCCGTGGCCAAGAAGCTCGTCACCGCCACCGGCGCCACCAACTTCAACATCCTCCAGAACAACGGCCGTATCGCCCACCAGCTGGTTGATCACGTGAGTTCTTTTCATCTCCCTCTCCTATCGCCTTTTACCAGAATTCAAAGTAGAGAGTAGAGAGATGTCGGCTTGGTGGGTTTAGATGAGTGACACTTAGCTAACCATAAATTTTCTCTGGTTCTAGGTTCATTTCCACATGGTAAGATATATATCCCGAGCCTCCCTATTTTCATATGCTAACCCGTCGTTAGATCCCCAAACCTAGCGAGGAGCAAGGCCTCGGCGTAGGCTGGCCTCAGCAGCCGACGGACATGGACGCGCTCAAGGCGCTCTACGAGGACATCAAGTCCAAGATGTGATAGGATCGCATGAAATACTATTATTAAAAACCCTACCTTAGGTAGCGGCATTTCCGTAATCACGGACAGGTAGCCTATCCATTAAATCAAAGATGTCCAAACGGGACGAGATTCACAAGACAATCCATGGCATCACACAAAAAGGTTTATGACAATTGTGCTCATTCCGGTTGATCGCGTCCCGGTGACATTTTTATACCTATTCTATGCGAATTACCCACTGCCAATGCCCATCCATTGTAACCCATTATACGCCCCATTGACCCCTCTAATCCACATCGTCAGACCCCGTCTCCCCCGCTGCCAGCGCCGCCGCCGTTCCGTTAGTCGGCGTCGGGGCGATCTTCGAGGGGTAATAGTCGACTTTTCCGTCGGGTTTGATGACCCCTATCCTGTCGTAGTACGACCTAGACCGGAGGTAAGGGTCCAGACGCCAGTATTGTTCCCTGAGGTTTTGGGCGACGGCATCCCGCTCCGAGTGAAGGATAGCCCGCTTCCCGGCGTCCAGCTCGTTGATCCACTCGAGTGTCTTGCTTTCGTACTCCTCGTACAATACTTCGCGTTCCTGTAGGAGCTTGTCCTTGGTCTCAACGTCCTTCATTTTGTCGTTTTCCCCGGGCACTGGCTCCTTGTATTCGTAAGAATAGCCTGATGTGCCTTCGAGGTCGGTAGGTATCCTCTCCTTAGCAACAAATTCCTCGAGGTCCTTGAGGGTGTTTGTGAAATGCACTTTGCTTGCGACTACGGGGTCTAGCCATCCCTTCAGAATCTTCCAGATACCTATAATCTCGGTTAGAATGCGGATAAGGAAATTGACGAATGAGATGACGAACCTTGGAAGACCCATGGGGCCTTATGAACGAGAACCACCCCGAGACTTTCGGGATAGTTTGCTTCGAAACATTTTATCATGAACTTGACGGGAGTGTAGTCCTGTGAAACGTTAGCCTCACTCGTATCATCTGAATTATATATATTACTCACCATGTTGGATAATGAAAATCCAGTTAGATCGAATAGGACGCACTGCCACTGTTAGTTACATTTTCCCCAAGGCTATTACAAGATACTCACAGCAGTGTCGACGGGATGGGTTAACATGAACCGGGTCGTCTCGATCAAGTAAACCGTGAACAGCTCAAGGCCCGCTTCGGACTGTTCACCTGCTCTGTGTAGTCGAGCCCTGACGATGCAGATGGGCCTCCCTGCCTTGTCGCTGCCATAGCAATGACTTTTTCCCATGCGCAGCTGAGCCAGGAAGTCTTCTGCTAGTTTTTTGCTCTTCGCGTCACCACTCTTCTCGTTGATGGCGGCAAATTCTTCGCCATTGGCCATGATTACATCATCAACGTGCGCCTCTGAACATCTCCAGTTCATTGTTGACATCAACATGACAAGCGCTCTTTGTAGGTCCCATTTTCTGGCTCTTAAAAATCGCAGTAGAAGGGCATCAGGATGGTCATGTTTTACCATAGACCAAATGGTAGCCCTTATCTGCTCAGGGGAATGAGTGGCTAGAGTTTCAAGATATGCCTTGTTCTCACCCCATTTGTCCTCTGGGTCGTTTTCTTTGATATTATCCATTGCCGCGACCCTAGTGGGTGTCGTAGTCCCCTTTTCCTTCTTCTTTTTGAATAGGGACATCCGACTCTTCTTAGGTTTTTCGGAATCTTTGCCACCTGTCCTCGACGCAGTCTCAGAATTGGTTTCAGTCTCAGTGCCGGTGGCATCGTCACCAAGGACGCCGCATACTTGCATGAACATCTCCCAGAACTTGCGCAACTTTTCGTCTTGCTCAGGGGTCAAGTTCCCCGGTCTGCCAGGAAGTTGATCCATGGCTTCTATAGCGTCTTTTCTGGAGTGATCTCCAGTATTCTCTATGAATATTAAAGGTCTTTCCAGGCCGGAAGGGATCAGGTCGTAGTATACCAAGGCGCCAATTACGATCAAGGGGACAAGATAGAGCGTAGATAAGATTTCGCTCTTTAAGTGCCTTTCACTTTTGTAGTTGTATTCTAAGAGTTCCTGCCTCTTATAATAAGCTTTTCTTATTCGGAAGGGATCCGATGATGGACGGGTTTTGCGACTGCTGATATCACCCTGTAATATAAATTCGCGGGGCTGTGCAGATTCTGATGACGAACGAGTCAGAGGTAAGGCGGGGCTAGAGAATACGCGGAAGACCTTCTCAGTACGAAAGGAAGACGAGCGCAATATATAATTTGGAGGATTTGCGAGAGGTCTAACAGAGAGGCAAAGTCTCGGAGCTGTGGAGAAGTATGAAAAAGGGTGCGGCGCCCTCAGTGTTGGCGCTTTCATAAGTGACCAAGACAATACTAAGATGCGCACACCAATGTCCGGAGGACCCGAGCCGCTTTATCGCCGTATAAGCGCAATTTATTCCCCTCTACAAATAAGGTGGTTTATTGCCAAGGGCTGGAAAACATCGGTCGCGAGATCTTGACTTGCTGGCAGGACGAGAATCGACAGCGCCTCAGACAATGGAATGTTAAAAAAACGAGCTCCGAGGGGTTGGAG